GGGTGGGTTATTTGTAGTTTGCAAGACTCTGTCAATGTAGCTTTACAATAAATTCAAATTAGCTCATCTGATAGTGATTCCTTTCTGGCTGACCAATTTCCGGGGCCTCGTCTTGCAGTACAGCGATTGTAGCATTGCCTCGATCCTATAAATCTATCAAATCCGGTCTGCAAAAATTCAGACATTCACTAGAGGGCAGAAAAGAGTTGATGATCTTCTCCTTATATTGTCCTAGTGGTAGCCTTGGGTCTTGCAACCTAAATCTCATAGCCCTTGGCCTGAAAATCAGGACAAATAAAGTGGTGGAAAGCTCCTAATCTCAGGGGCTAAAGCAGGGGTGTCAAACTCGCAATGTCACGTGACGTGTTGCGACTTTTTTGCCATTGCCGGCAATGGGGTGGGCGCGGTTTCGCTATGATGCATCCGGCCTGCGGGCCGGCAGTTTGACACCCCTGGGAAAAGGATCAGAACTAAGTGGTTACAAGCAGTCCTTGAGCCCAAAATGTCTGTTGCTAAACAAGAGAGTTGTTAAGTGACATTTGCCCCACTTTACAATATTCTTATAATAAAGTAATAAAGTTGGAAGGGACCTTGGAGGTCATCGAGTCCAACCCCCTGCTCAGGCAGGAAACCCTATACCATTTCGGACAAATGGCTGTCCAGTTTCTTCTTAAAAATTTCCAGTGTTGGAGCATTCACCGCTTCTGGAGGCAGGTTGTTCCACTGGTTAATTGTTCTGTCAGGAAATTTCTCCTTAGTTCTAGGTTGCTTCTCTCCTTGATTAGATTCCACCCGTTGCTTCTTGTCCTGCCTTCAGGCGCTTTGGAGAATAGCTTGACTCCCTCTTCTTTGTGGCAGCCCCTGAGATATTGGAACACTGCTATCACGTCCCCCCTCGTCCTTCTCTTTGTTAAACTAGACATACCCAATTCCAGCAACCGTTCCTTGTATGTTTTAGCCTCCAGTCCCCTGATCATCTTTGTTACTCTTCTCTGTACTCTTTCTAGAGTTTCAACATTTTTTTTACATCGTGGTGGCCAAAACTGGATGCAGTATTCCAAGTGTGGCCTTACCAAAGCATTGTAAAGTGGTATTAACACTTCACGTGATCTTGATTCTATCCCTCTGTTAATGCAGCCTAGCACCATGTTTGCTTTTTTGGCAGCTGCAGCACATTGCTGGCTCATATTTAAGTGATTGTCCACTAGGACTCCGAGATCCCTCTCACAGTTACCACTATTGAGCAAGGTACCCCCTGTACCAGTTGCAGTGAAGCTATGGCACGGGTGCCAGAGGCGGCACTCAGAGCCCTCTCTGTGGGCATGCGTGCCGTCGCCCCAGTCCTAGGCCTTCAGCTGGGTTTTATAAAACCTTTTCACTTTAGGCCTTTGCCGCCATGTACAAAAAAAAAAAAGATTCAATCAGTCAATTTCAACTTCTCGTGGGAAAAAAAAAGATCTTTCAAAGTTGGAATTGATTGATTGAACTTTTTAGTCCCACCCAGTCTTCCATTACCACCGCAGTCACGCCCACCCAACGGGCCATACCCAGCCAATTGGCCACACCCAGCCAATGGCCACACCCACCCGGCACCCGACGATGCATAAGTGGGTTTTGGGTTGCAGTTTGGGCACTCGGTCTCTAAAAGGTTCGCCATCACTGCCCTATATTATACCTGTACATTTGGTTTTTCTTGTCACAGTTGTTAAGTGACTCACTGCAGTTGTTAAGTTAGTAGCACAGCTGTTAAGTGAATCTGCCTTCCCCGTTGACTTTGCTTGTCAGAAGGTTGCAAAAGGTGATCACATGACCTCGGGACACTGCAACCGTCATAAATATGAGTCAGTTGCCAAGCGTCTGAATTTTGATCATGTGATCCTGGGAATGCTGCACCCGCTAGTACCTAAGGGTGAAAATCGATAAGTCACTTTTTTTCAGTGCCGTTGTTAACTTCAGACGGTCACAAAATGAACTGTTGTAAGTCGAGGATTTACCTATAGTTAATCCTGCTGGGAAACCTGGGTCCAAGAAACTGCTTAAAGATGGGAAGGGCCAATTAAGTCACTCAGTTGATGTGGAACTCCTGGAGGGTCAATATTATTGCAGGTTTTAAAATCTTTGCTAATTTTTAAAGAAACTATTGCAAAATTATGTTGAATTGTCCCCGTGGAGCAGAACTCTACATGCCCCGTTGTTTGCAAAGTGCTCACTGCCCTTCCCTTTCCAAACATTTTGAAGGGGGGGAAATAAAATGTGAAGTTTGTGCAGTTTTTTTTATTATCTTTTGGACTTTCGATATTGGCACCAGCGGATGTAATGACTAGGCAATTCCTATCACTGCATAAGCATAAATAAGCTCTAATAAGAGGAAAAAGAAACAAAAATGCTAATGGGTAAGAAATATGATGGCTTTAAATTGATACAGAATGAACATGTTATACAGACCTTGGCTGAAAACCATTAATGCAAACAGACCAGCATTCAACGATAAACATTCTGGCTTATCAAAAAGAAACATACTCCATCACCCAGAGTGGGAACCATTGAATAAACTACGGAGCCTCTAGATCAGGGGTCTCCAAACATGGCTGGCTGAGGAATTCTGGGAATTGAAGTCCACAAGTCTTAAAGCAGCCATGTTTGAAGACCCCTGCTCCAGATAGTCCTCAATTTCCAACCCTTCATTTAGGGAGCATTCGGAGTTACAGCGGTACTGGAAAAAAAAGTGACTTACGGCCATTTTTCACAATTACGACCGTTGCAGCATCCCCCTGATCACACGGTTTACATTAGGATGCTTGGCAACTGCTTCGTATTTATGACGGTTGCAGTGTCCTCGGGGTCACGTGATCCCCTCTTGCGACCTTCTGACAAGCAAACTCCAAGGGGAAGCCAGATTCACTTAACAACCATGTTATTAACTTAGCATAACAACTGGGGCGAGAAAGGTCATAAAGTGGGGGCAAAACTCACTTAACAACTTGTCTCGCTTTGCTTAGCAGCAGAAATTTGGGGCTCAGTTACGGTCGCAGATGGAGGACGACTCGTAGTTATAATTTGTTTACATGATGTGTAAATGGTAGCCTGACACCTACCTCTGCAACGTGCCACTTTGGTGGGTTTTCCATTAGGATGGTGCATGGGTGTCCATTTGCCATCCGACTGGCAGACCCGGCTGGGCGTGGGATATGGGTAAGTGCCAGCTGGGCAGGAAAAGGTGAGGATGCTTCCTGGACGATATCCATCGGAGAGAGTGATGTCCCCACCTTGGATCGATACCCTTGGACAGGATGGTGTTCCATCAAGGACCAAACTTTGGGTGGCAATAGCTGCAAGGCACATGAAAGGGATGACAAGATGAGATGAGATGAAATGAGATGGGATGGGATGAGATGAGATAGATAAGATAGATGAGATAGATAAGATAGATGAGATAGATAAGATGATAGGATAAGATGATAGGATAAGATGATAAGATAAGATAAGATAATAATAATAATAACACGTACCACCAGTTGAAAAACCCTGATCTAGTCTAACCCCCTGCTTGACAAGAAGAGTCTATACCAGTGGTGGCGAACCTATGGCACGCATGCCAGAGGCGGCACTCAGAGCCCTCTCTGTGGGCACGTGTGCCATGCCCAGGAGATGGCAACCGTCTCTCTTCAACCAGCCGCCCGCTAACTCACCGAGGTCCCACGTGGCTGGATGCACCTCAGCACCCATGCACTCGCTGGCCTCTGTGACAATGGCACCCCACAATGGACGATGGTGTCAGCTCCAGCCCCTGCCTCGCCTTGCCCTGTGACAATGGCACCCCCGCCCTGCCTCGCCTCATCACACAGGATGAGTCTCCTGCCCACCGCCCCACCTGCCAGAGACCCCCTGGGTCTCCCCCAACCCTGCCCAGCCCCCACGCGTCCCTCCCCACGAGCAACATCGAGGTGATCACGCGCGTCCCTCCCCACGAGCAACATCGAGGTGATCACGCCCACCTTGGCCATACCCACCCAGTCTGCCATGACCACCACAGCCACACCCACCCAATGGGCCATGCCCACCTGGCACCCGGCAATAAATAAGTGGGTTTTGGGTTGCAGTTTGGGCACTCGATCTCTAAAAGGTTCGCCATCACTGGTCTATACCATTTCAGACAAGTGACTGTCCAGTCTCTTCTTAAAAGCCTCCAGTGATGGAGAACCCACAACTTCTGAAGGAATGCCGTTCCACTGGCTAATTGTCCTCACTGTTAGGAAGTTTCTCCTTAAATCCAGGTTGCTTTTCTCCTTGATAAGTTTCCATCCATTGTTTCTTGTCCTGCTTTCTGGTGCTTTGGAAAATAGGTTGCCCCCCTCTTCTTTGGGGCAGCCCCTCAAATATTGGAAGACTATCGTGTTGCCCCCCAATCCTTCTTTTCAGTAAACTAGACACTCCCAATTCCTGCATTCTTCATATGTTTAATAATCTGCTTGCTTTTGGATATTACATAGCTTGACTCATTGTTGCTCCATGTCAGGCAGAAAAATAACTTCATCAATCCCTGCCCTCCAAACTGAGATTTCATTTTTTTAAAAAAAAAAAAACCCAAACCACAAACAATTTGATTTGAATCCTAATTTGCTGATGATGCAAAGTGTTTTCCCCTTCCATTTTTTAGCTTACATATCATAGTTGCTTCACATGTTATTTCCTGCCTTCCCTGAAATAGGCAGATCTGCAAGAATTAAAATTAAAATTGAACGAAACAATAAAAAATGATTGGAAATGGCTAGACGATCAGGAAAACGAAATCGAAAGTGTACAAATTGTGGAATTATGAAACCCTGTGCAAAGAAATATCAAAAGTTGCTCTGCAAGTAAAAAAAACTTCTGCAAATGGAGATAACAACACCATAGATATGCAAGGTTATATTTGTATCCTGGTATTCCTCCAAAGTTCACATTTTTATCCTCGCAACAAAATTGTGGCATAGGCCTGGTGCTGGCTGTTATTCCCACTTGCCTTTCTCCCTGCACAAATTCACCTTGCTAGTCTCTTTTTTCTGCTGTTTCCCAGCCCCTGAGACAGACAGATTAAAGCAGTGTTTTTAAAGTGTGGTCCTAGACCTAGAACCTCTAAGCTACCCCCAAAATTCTCTCTGGGGTCGCCAAAATCAAAATTATTTGCCGGCCCATGTTGAAAAATAATGCTATCTTAAACTCCCATCAAACAATCATGAGAAACAACATGGCATCAAGTGCATCACTTTATATTTTTAACTCCCACAGCAGTCTTGGAAGACTGATATACTGTAAGTAAATCCTATATGAGCTGAGACTGTTACCCTGTGGACAAGGGGCCACTGAAACTATAGCTCACATCCTACTATACCAGCGGTTCTCAACCTATGGGTCGTGACCACATTTGGGGTCGATCGACCATTTCACGGGGGTCGCCAAGCAAGGCTGTCCGCCATTTTTTCCCCTTTTCCGGCGGGTGCCTTACCTCCCTTGAGCTGGGCCAGCTGGTGGTCGGCCTGCTCCATCTCTGCCGCTTGCCAGCTACGCCTCGGCCGGCGCAGGGGGCGGAACCAAGCATGCACGGCGCTCCCGGGCAGGGAAAGTCCTCGACTTACGACCAGTTGGGTAGTCCTCGACTTACGACTGGTTTAGTCCTCGACTTACGACCGGTTTAGTCCTCAACTTATGACCGGTATAGTCCTCGACTTACGACCGGTTGGGGGTCGCGGCATTAAAAAGGTTGAGAACCACTGTACTATACTCTATCTTTCTGTAAGGACTCATGGACCCATCTCATAGCACCTCACGTGGGAAACACCAATCTTTTTTTTATCTACAATTGTTATCAGATCAGACAGATGTAGTCTCTTTGAATGTAGCTAAATGTTGTTATGCTATCTGCAAAATTAGGCTGACTTTGGCTGCCCACTGATTATCTACTATCAGTTGTTAAATATTATCTTGTCTTCTTTTATTTTATTTTTTTTAATGCTTCTTATTTGTGAAGCTGGTCTGGTAACAGTAACACAAAAAATTAATTAAAAATTAATTTTAACCAGGTCAATATTGATGAATGTAACTCATGCAAACAAAAGCTTTTGGGGGGTCCTCCATCATTTTTAAAAAATGGGAAGGGGTCCTGAGAGGGAAAAAAAGGTTAAGAAACCTTGGCTTAAACTTGCAGGGGTAGGCAACCTTGGCTCTTTTATGACTCGTGGACTTCAACTCCCAGAATTCCTGAGCCAGCATGGCTCAGCATGGAAACCTCTCCCTTTCTCCTCAGCATGGCTGGCTCAGGAATTCTGGGAGTTGGAGTCCACGAGTCATAAAAGAGCCAAGGTTGCCTATCCCTGGCTTAAAGCATTCCCTGCTCTACTTACATCTGAGTAGCACTTCCCTGTCCTCTGCCCCACTTAATCTAAAAGGTCTTGTACTAAAAGTCCTCCAAGGTCCCTTCCACACCAAGCTGGCAGGAATAGCCAACACTCCAGAAGACAGGCTTAGGATACAGGAGGATCTGGACAGACTTGAACACTGGGCGCTATCTAACAAAATGAAATGCAATGGTGAAAAAAGTAAGGTTCTACATTTAGGCAAGAAAAAACAAATGTACAGGTATAGTATAGGGGGTACCTTGCTCAATAGTAGTAACTGCGAGAGGGACCTCGGAGTCCTAGTGGACAATCACTTAAATATGAGCCAGCNCACACTTGGAATACTGCATCCAGTTTTGGTCACCACGATGTAAAAAAGATGTTGAGACTCTAGAAAGAGTACAGAGAAGAGCAACAAAGATGATTAGGGGACTGGAGGCTAAAACATATAAGGAACGGCTGCTGGAATTGGGTATGTCTAGTTTAACGAAGAGAAGGACGAGGGGGGACATGATAGCAGTGTTCCAGTAGGGGCTGCCACAAAGAAGAGGGAGTCAAGCTATTTTCCAAAGCGCCTGAAGGCAGGACAAGAAGCAATGGGTGGAAACTAACCAAAGAGAGAAGCAACCTAGAACTAAGGAGAAACTTCCTGACCGTTAGAACAATTAACCAGTGGAACAACCTGCCTCCAGAAGCGGTGAATGCGCCAACACTGGAAGTTTTTAAGAAGAAACTGGACAGCCATTTGTCCGAAATGGTATAGGGTTTCCTGCCGGAGCAGGAGGTTGGACTAGATGACCTCCGAGGTCCCTTCCAACTTTATCATTATTATTATTATTAATTCCTCTCTGGACAAGGAAAGGACTGGAAATCACCCACAAGTGCTCCATATAACTGCTCCTTGCAAGGAGACCGCAAGACAGCATCTCCAGCAGATTTTGCAGATCGATACTGAGATGACCAGGTTTTTAAGGATTTCTTTAGAGATAAGAGATGGAATATGAGAAGAAGTGATCATTTGTTGTATTTTAAGAGAATGTGTTAAGTTATCTGTTTATACCTGCAACGAAGGGGGAAGGTCACTTCTTTTCTTTTTCTTTATCATATTTCTATTTTTTTTTCTTCCTATTTTTTCTGCATCTTCTGTTTTTTTTTCTTTTTATTCTGTTGTTCTTTGATTGTTTTAAGTTTATATTTGTTCTTTATTATTGTAATTGTGATTTTTAATAAAATTACTATTTAAAAAGCAAGCTGCGAGGCTCGGGCACTGCAGCACAAACCTGTCCCCAGAGCTGGTTTTTAATGTCATTTGTTCGTGATGTCTCTGCCTCATCTACAGCCTGTGCCTCAACCAGCTTAAACTTGCCTTCTTTAGCTGTTGCGGTTTTCCAATAGCATTTTCCCTCTCACCAGCCCAGTTTTTCCCATGCATACAATCTTGGCATGTTTCATCAATGATGGTTCAAATCAACCAAGTGAACTACACGGGCCAAGTTCCCACAACACACTGGGTGAAAATGTAACTTGCTTTGTGCTTCAGTTTGTTATGTGCAAACTCAGCTGGGATCTCCTGTAGGGCAGGGGGTCCCCAACCTCCGGTCTGTGGGCTGGCACCAGTCCGTGGTATGCCAGAAACTGGTCCACACAAACAAGCAAAGCCCCATCCGCAGGATGCAGGCAGTACATGAAACCACACCTCCTCCGGTCCGTGGTAAATCTCTCTTCAAGGAACCGGTCCCTGGTGCCCAAAAGGTTGGGGACCTCTGCTGTAGGGAAACAGATCCCGTCAAGTTCTGTAGAACTTTGCTTTCAACTGCATGAATTTCGTTGCTGGTTTATTTCCCATTACAGGTAGTCCTCGACTTATAACCAATACTGTGCCCAAAATTTCGGTTGGTAAGCAAGACAGTTGCTAAGTGAGTTTTGCCCCATTTTAGGCCCCATTTTCTTGTCTCGGTTGTTTAGTGAATCACTGTTACATTAGTAACACAGCTGTGAAGTGAATCTGGCTTGCCCACTGGCTTTGCTTGTCAGAAGGTTGCAAAAGGTGATCTCATGACCGTCGGATGTTGCAACTGTCTTAAGCACATGCCAGTTGCCAAGCATCTGAATTTTGATCACACGACCACAGGGATGTTGCAATGGCCGTAAGTGGTGAACAATGGTCATAAGTCACTTTTCTCAGTGCTGCTGTAACTTTGAATGGTTATTAAACAAATCAAGGACTACCTGTAGAATTCCCCTTCCACCTGGGTGTAAATCTCACTACTAAACTGGTGGGATCTACAGAGAACAGGCAGAATCCAAGGAAACTTAAGCGCAGCGCAGAAGGCTAGGAAAAGAAAACTAGAACTAGAGAAAGCAAAATCTTGGCGGGGGAATGGAGTAAGAGAATAACAGAGTTGGAAGGGATCTTGGAGGTCTTCCAGTCCAGTCCCCTTGCTCAAGCAGAAGACCCTATACTAGTCGTAGCGAACCTATGGCACGCGTGCCGGAGGTGGCACTCAGAGACCTCTCTCTTGGCACGTGCGCCGCCGCCAGCAGCAGATCCATCAGGCCGCCACCGCCACCCAGAGCAGGAGCCCCGCCCAGCACAAAGGAGGTGAAGCGGCCGACTAGCAAGCTCGAGTAGAGGTGGTAGAGCAGAGGTCACCAACCATTGTCGATTGGCGGACTGGAAGAAAAGGGAGGGGGAAGCATTTTGCATGCGTGCATGGGGCCGCGAGCATGCACGTGCTGCAAATGGGACGGGGGCTAGCGCCTGCGTGATAGTCTACCCTATTCTTGCGTGGTGCAGCACCTTGTATCCGCGCCCCACAGCGTGGCGGCGACCGTTTTTGCGCCTTGCAGCACGGTGGCCCATTTTTGCACCCCTGGTTTTTGCGTGCCAGAGGCGGTACTCATAGGCGCCTCCCTGCCCTCCCCTGAGGGCACCACAATGCTGGCACTTTGCGATAAATAAGTGGGTTTTGGGTTGGGTTTGGGCACTCGGTCTCTAAAAGGTTCGCCATCACTGCCCTATACCATTTCAGACAAGTGATTGTCCAATCTCTTCTTAAAAACCTTCAGTCTTGAAGCACCCACAACTTCTGGAGGCAAGTCGTTCCCACTGATGAATCGTTCTGACCGTCAGGAAATGTCTGCTTACTTCTAAGTTGGTTCTCTCCTTGGTTAGCTTGGGTCACACAAAGGTTCTAAAGGCGGAGAGGATTTCGTGGGAATTCTGCAGAGGATTCGAATTCCAAACCGGGAAGAAGAAGAAGAAGAAGAAGAAGAAGGAGAAGGAGAAGAAGAAGAAGAAGAAGAAGAAGAAGAAGAAGAAGAAGAAGAAGAAGAAGAAGAAGAAGAAGAAGAAGAAGAAGAAGAAGAAGAAGAAGAAGAGGAGGAGGAGGAGGAGGAAGGGAGGAAGGAGAAGAAGAAGAAGAAGAAGAAGAAGAAGAAGAAGAAGAAGAAGAAGAAGAAGAAGAAGAAGAAGAAGAAGAAGAAGAAGAAGAAGAAGAAGAAGAAGAAGAAGAAGAAGAAGAAATAAAAGAGTTCAAGACCGACGGGGACGCGAGGAGAGGGGTGTCCGAAAGCGCTCCAAAGCAAATGCAAGCATCACAAAACCGAATCGCAAGTTGGCATTATTCCAAAGCGGGCAGAAAAACAAACCAACATCGGAACCAGGTTACAGAGAGAGAGAGAAAGAGAGAGAGGTGCGTTGACCCCCTTCCCCGCCCAAATCGTCCCTGGGGTGCGGGGGCTGGATCGCTCCCACCAACTCCGGCAGCAGCGGGTGGCAGCGTCTCTCCCACTACCTGCCACGAAGCTGGAGAGCCAACAGAGCTCCGGGACCATGTTGCGCCGCCGAGGAATCCCGATCGCCGCTCCGCTTTCCACACCGCAGCCGCAGAAGCAGGGAAATGCCACCGCAAACGTTGCCAGCCAGCCACGGAAAAGCCGCTCCGCTTTCGGTCCGCCTTTCCCGCTTGACAAAATAAACTAAGCGGGCGGGAGAGGGGGGGGGAGAGAGAGAGGTGGTGGGGTGTGTGTGTGTGTGAATTGATTGGCGGGAAAAGGGAGAATTGCGCAAACTTGGTCAAAACCCGGCCCCGGCTCTTTCTTGATGTAGCCAAATCGGAGTCTTTCCTGTTGCTTCAAGTCCCGGGGGGGGGGGGGGAGAAAGAGGGGAAATGGAAGCTTTCCCTTCCTTTATTTTAACCGATCGAGATCGAAGCTGCTGTGAGTCAAGGGGTGTGTGGAAAATGCTGACATCGAAGGGATTTTACCCCCCTGGGAGAGCGGGGGTGGGGAGGAAATGCAGTTCGGCCACAGGCGTGCCTGCCCGTGCGTTCACACGTAACTGAGCGACACGCGATCCGTCCCCGCAACGTTCGTACTTGCCGCGTGGAGAAGCTGCTTTCACTTGGTTGGTTAAAAATTGCTGGCTGGGGCGTCCGCGGGGGCTTTCTCGGCTCGGCCCAGTCTTCCTCCTGCCAGCCTTGATTTCCCGTAAACCGAGTTTACAAC